GCCCCGGTAAACCTCATTCCACGAGGAATAACGGGGCTGCCGACAAAGGGCTTTGATGTCGGCAGGGAGCGTCCAGACTAGCGCGCTGAGCAGACAAACAGCTGATCAGCTGTTTGTCGGCTCAGTGCGGCAGCCATGTAAATTTAAATGAAGCCGCGATCATTTAAATCGCGGCTTCATTTGCCTTTGCCTATGTGTCTAATCTACATGCCTCTGCCGACAGAGGCATGTAGTCTAGACACAGCCAAGGAGTCTGAGTAATCTGTGTTTGACTCTATTAGCTCACAGAGCAGGAGGTCTCCTCATACGTTCTCACCACTTGCACCTCTATGCAGGGCCATACTATTATAATGTATGTTGTGGCTATTAGGTATGAAAAAAATAAATGGCAACACCAAACCAGCCTGCAGAGATTGATGCTCTGGTTGTTAGATTGATTCATAGAGTGATAGACAGAAATTCTGAGTAAAAGGGTAATGTAAAAAAAACTCAAACAAACAATTCCCAAGTCAACCAATATGTTGTGTTGTAGTTTGTTGTAGATTGCAGGAGACTGTCAAGCCTGCCACATGTAAGTTTCACCATTGGACACAGAGAATACATGTTAAAAGCACAAGATTATATAATAAAGGTATGTATATAAGTTCTAAAAATGGTATCTACCATATTATGAAACAGTAATATGCAATTCTACATAGAAATGTGTTTTTAATTTCAGGAAACCATGGAAGAAAATACCATGTGCATCAGTGGCTTTCAGGCTCTCGATATTGCCACTCATTCTGGAGAGCTGTGGATTTTAGGAGACGTATTCATGTCTGTGTTTTACTGTGTTTTTGACCGTGGAAATGATAGAGTGGGATTTGCAAAAGCCTCTCATAGAAAGGAACATTACTAGTGAGATTCTAATGGCATCCTTTCTGCTTTAAACACATCTTCTTAGTGGACCTGAACTAAAACCCTGGATCTGAATATTGCTCCCAAAAATGTTATACCATTTTAGGGTGGATTTGAAATTCAATTCTGAATCCAAATTTTGAAGCTTGTTCCCATTTGTATTCATTTGCTACAGACACATTTATTTCAAAACCAATGATTGAAAGTCCGAAAGTCCTAAGAAGGGCTATGTCAAAAATACCTAGAAATGTTTAAAACAACTTGTCTGTAGAATTTGCATTGAGGTGGAAGGGAAAGTGTGCTTTGGAGAAGCCAGCTAACTAATGCAAAGATGACGGTGCCTCAGTTGTAGTTATGGGAACCCAATCCAACTAGCATTGGGTATTTCTCTTTCCTTGATTGTCAGTTTCAGCTTTCTATTTCCTGATTAAATAATTTTTCTTGTTATTATTTGTAGCTTTTATTTACCTCATTCTTTATTGGGTCTTGTTCAGCCCTCTCTCCCTCTCTCCTTTAAAGATAATCTTTTCACTTCCATCACTTAAATGCTATTTCTTACTTCTTACTTATTCTCTCTGACCTGCTTTTTCCTCAGGTACACTCTCTTTTTCTGTGCTTGCCTTTTCCTTATTTAGTTAATATTTTACAATTATTGGGTCTTCAGTCAGATCCTGTCTTTAGTGCCTGACATCTCCATACCTTTAATGGATTGAAACAGCTGGGATTGGCATCTCCTTGCAGGGCAAGACATTGGACAGTGAAGCTTGTATTGCACAACCCTTGCAAAGACAGAAATGTATGAATGACACAAAAGCATCACCCTGTTCCATGAAAGACACAGAAATAGGACCCCAATGTAGATCCATGCTGTTCCCCATTTTGAGAGGCATTGTTAGCAGCAGTTTCGACTGAGATGCAAAATAGTTCCAAGCCACAGGTAGTCAAGCTCTCCTCTGTTGTGTAAGGGATTGAACAATATTGAATGTATCTGATTTTTACCTATCTGAATATTCATCTTGCTCATTGGAGCTGATTCTGTACATTGACATATAAACAAATAAAACTGGAACAAGAAAACCTGATTGGAGGTGCTTTTTCACTTCATTATGCATTTTCTTTCAATGGAAAATGAAGTCAACAAGAGCCAAGTTCTGCAAGGCGTTATGCAGAACTTGGGTTATTGTTTGTGATATAGAAGCAGCTGCTCATGGCTGTGAGACATGGCAGCAAGGAAATGAATGAAAAAAGGGAAAGAAAAATCCCAAAGACACCAAAATGGGGGGAGGAAAGTGCACAGCCAAGCCACTTGCACCAAATGGCCTTTTCTCTCCCATAAGTCATTAAATGTCCATTTTGGCAATGTCACATGCCAGGTCTCTACTGGAGATGATCAGGACTCTGTGGGGGCAGATTATAGGGAGGAACAGCTGTTGTAGGTAGCGTATTACTCACACAGGCAGAAGGATGCCTGGCCCCAAGGAAATTGGCAAGGATTACATTCAGCATTTTTCTGTCTGCAGCACATGCCCAGGAAAAGCTTGGTGACTTTAGTAACCCGATATGAAACATAGCTATTGGTCTAGAAAATGAAGTATTGTGAAAGGCTGATTTATGTGGGTTCTAAGGGCATGTCTATACTTACTGGGAGATTGGCGCTGTGGCGATCAATCTCACAGGGATCTATTTACTGGGTCTAGTGAAGACCTGCTAAATCCACTACTGATCATACTCTCATCAACTCTGGTACTCCACTGGAACAAGAAGTGTAAGGGAAGTCAATAGGTGAGTTTCTTCTGTTGACCCCTGCAGTGGAGACCCTTGATCCAATGTCCATGGATTCCAGCTGGAATAGCTGAAGCTGCACACCGTAAGTGGACATTTCCCCATAGTGTAGACATCCCCTAAATGTGCTCTGGCTCCCACTTGATCAGGAAGCATGGAGTACTCTCATACATTGATTTCTCTTTCTCATCTGCCACCTGACATGGCTGGGACATCTTCTCTCTAATTGCTGCACCCACTAATATCACACCCCATGTGGGAAGCATGCTGAAGGGAGGTAGCACAGCAGCTGCTGGCTGAGGTGCATTAAGATTTATTGGGTCTCTGGGATTAAAGAACATTTGGGATCCCAGACTTTGGAGGCACAATGGCACTGGCACTCCTGGGAGAGATAGACCATGACCCTCCCACTTTTCAACTTGGGCATAGTAGCCTCGGGCAGGCTAGGAGCAGCAGTAACAGAGGCTGCACGTCCACAATGGGGGAGCTCATAAAGTGATCAGCATCCTTGTCATGAAGCATAGCCCCTGCTAGGGGTGCCAGTTTCTTCCTGGTGGGGGGATGAGGTGGGCCTTAGCCCCCTCCTTGCCATGGGGTCCCTCCCCCTGTTCCTCCTCTCCCCTACAGGCCCTCCCTCCCTCCATGTCTACTTTGTGTGTATGCTTTTTTTTTCTCAATTTCGTTTTTAAAGTGTGCAGTGCTCATAAGCAAACTTGCCTGTCTAGATAAACTTTATTTGGTCCTACAATAAGATATTATAAAACTGTATTATTTATTTAGCAGCAATCTGGATATTTTTGCTTCCTTGGGCAAGTAATTGAATGACATTTTGTGCATTTCCATATAGATATACATAACATTGTTATTGTATCAGAAAATTAGTCAACTCACTTTTCTGTCACATACGAATGAGGGTTCCCAGAAAATTCCATAAAATGTGAACATTCTGTGGTCTGGTTCTTTGAATTCTGACTTAGAATATGAACATCTAGAAAGCCACAGTATTGGTCAGCTCATTAGAGACATTACGGTCATATAGCCCACCTTGTTGAAGATTAACTCTATGGGATGGTAACAAACTGTTGCTTTGAAATATGTCTCTATTCTGGCTTTCCTCTCTCCCCAGTTTTTTCCAGCTTTACCAACATCTATAGCTTCCACCCATTGATGCTCTTGTACTCCAAAGTGGCCTACGCTATTGGTTAGGTCCCGGCAAGGACCTATCTTGACATAGTTTAATACAACCAAAGCAACCTGATTTTTAAAAAAGCATTTCATGTAATAAATAAATTACATTGTTTATTCTGGTAAAGAAGAACCATTCATTGTTGGGCAGCTAGTATTATAATTAGTCAATTGACTAAACTAATGTTTAAAAAATTATAGCAACAGGTGCTTTAGGTGACCAACTTAGTCCAAAAGATAACTTAGTAAAAAAAACCCAGATGAAGTCCCATTCTGTACAGATAGATAATGGACAGAATATTTATATTTATCCCTGTCGCTAGTTGCTGTTTGTGAAATACTTGTGTAGCCCCTCCTGTTTACTAGCCCAGTATGAGGTTATTCAACACAGGAAGTCTTGTGACCTTTTGCACAACTTTGGGAGACTGGGATGGAACAGATAATTGCTCTGTTCCAATACAACTCCAAGCCTTTTGGAAGCCGAGAAAAAGGAGGTTGAGGATGGTGGCAAGGTGGTGATTGGACCCTGGAGGCAGATTAAGTGAGTTCTTTGCATCAGAAATGACAGAGACAGAAAAAAAGACAAAAGACACAGTAGCCTGGGATCCCTGGCTCAGAATCCCATTTCCCCAGCTGTGTGCTCTGTCTGGGGCTGGCTATGGAACCCTCTTATCCAAATGGTGAAACTGCCTGGTGGCTGCTGTTATGGTCCCCCTGCAGCTACAGCAATCGATCCCTCGCCTTCTGAGGGACTAGGGGGAGTTTGGCCAGTGAAGCTACAGAGCTGTGGAAATGCTGGTCACACCTCACACTTCTAAGGCTCGTCTTACCTTCCCTTCCTAGGCTACCACAGCGCAAGCCCCACACAGCAGTGCTTCAGGCACTGGGGGAGCGGTGCACACCCAGGGAGGCTGCAGTGCTCTGCCTCGTGCCATGAGTAGTATAATTGCATTAGTTTAGATGCCTTTGGAGCCTTCCTTACCCCAGGATGGTGGAGGAGGGATGTGGCTGTACTGACATGACATCAATAGGAGTCCATAACATTTACCATTACTATTTCTTGGTATTTGAATGAGAGTTGAAGGGAAAATCCTTACATGCCTATGTTATAAAAGCAAATATGATTTGCAAAAGGGTGGCTGCCAAGAGAGAAAGGCTGGGTATGTATTTGCTGGAGAGAAATCCCCTTTTCCTCTGCAAAGGGAGAGGGAAATCAGTACACCCTTTTCCATCATGGTCATAGTCAATATGAACTCCCTTCCCCAAGCCACGTTCAAAGGCGGAGTCCGTGCTTAGAGAAAGGCCAAAGAACAGTGCCAAAGCTGGAGAGTGGCTGATTAAATCTATCCAGGAAGTGGGGATCCTGGCTGGCTGAGCTTTTTTAAAATTTAATATTGCCCGAATCCTGAGAGAGAGGAAATCTTTAACATCGTGATCTGAGTAGTTTCCGTTGGGAATAAGATCAACTGTATTACATACTGTACATCAAGTCTGAGCAATATGTTTGTGTTTCTGTATTTTCAGAAAATCTGAATAAAAATAGGGTTCAAAACAGGCGGAAAGTTTGAATTGTTTTTCAAAAATGAAAGTGTCCTGCATTTGGGGAACCCCCAAATGGCTGCCGAGGCTCTTAAATATTTTCCCCCTCAATAAATAATATAATCTAGAACTGGAATCTAGAAGGTTCTGACAACCTTGTCACAGATTTCCTTCATTCTTTTCATTAATACATTCTAGTATGGCTGTTTCTTTAGTATCCAAATGCTCCAGTAAGTGATGCATATCAACTGTATCTCTAGCAGCAGAGGTAGGAGCAATATTACTTTCACTGCTAATGGTGCTTTGTCCAGAGGATGTTCCAGATTCCAGGAAAAAAGGTGCAGCATCTGTATGTAGTGTAATGCTGAGTGTGTGGAAGTCTGGGGAACACCTTTCAGAGATCCCGTCTCGCTCTTTGCTATCGCCTGCTGGCATGCTTTTGGGTAAATCCGGTTTTGGTTCCTCAGTAATAACTGAGGATGGTTTATGTTGCCCAGCATTCCTAAAACACATGGCCATTTCTGAATGAGGGAACGGCACAAACCCTGGCTCAGAGCATGGTTCAATCGGACTGCCTATGGGCTCCTGTTCTGTTGGCATGCTGGTGGAGGGGTCTGCCTTTAAAGTCTGGTAGTCTGCTGCGTTGGGTGTTCTGTCCTCTGTTTCAGCCACAACCACTTCAGGGACTGGCAGAACTACCCTAGTTGTTGCGTCATTGTCACTAGATTGGTAGCTCTCTAAAATGTTGTTTCTGCTGATTTCATTAATAGTTGCCAGATCTATGCTAGCATGCAGTCGGGAATTCCTATCAGCCAGCTCATATTTCTTCTTGGCATTTGAGGGAAAATGTCTCCCTCTAGAATGCATTTCTTGCAAGCTGCTGATGTGCCCCGTTTCGTGGGCAGGGAAAAATATCGAGTTCTCACTTGACTGTCTGCTGTAGCGCCTCCTAGTTGGCGAGGAAGAGCTTTCATGGACACTCAGAAATCGCTTAACTCTTCTCAGCACTGAGGGCTGTCGCTTGTATTTCTCATCATCCCAGGGCCACTTCTCTTTATGGAGGAACTCTATATCCGACAGCCTGTAAAATAAAGTGATGGAGCATGTGTCACTCTGTCTTTCTTTTATTCTAGAGTCACAAGGAGTGTACCATTTGCAGTAAGGCCTGACATTAAATGGACAATATGGTTTACATAATGATCCATTTTCTCTCTGCCTGTCATTAGTGGAACAGTGCGTGAGAGAACTAAAAGAGCAAATGTGTTCCTAACAAGGACCTCCATGAGGTAGAGGAGGAGGCAAATAAGAGGAAAATGGGGTTGAAAATCTCCAAATGCACTGAAAAGGGTGAGCAGCACAGGCAGTTCTAATTTGTTCCTCCTCTTATCTTGTATCAGTGGAACATTCCTTGATGGCAGGTCTACCTGTTCAGGGCTTTGCAGGGGCAGAAGAACAATTGCTCTGTGACGTGTATTTCTTAGTATATCAGGAAGAGTTAACCACACAAAAGTTAATGGTGTTCCTGGAAGTATGGACGGTACTTAATCTGTGTCAGGGTTTGCCAGGGATGAGCCCTGGCACCTATAGGCTGGGCACCTTTGGGCTAGCCGCATCAGTTGTGAAAGTAAAAAACAAAACACAAACAAAAATCAAACCAAGAAACCTGCTTGAGCCCCAGCACCTAAATGTTTGAGACCTGACACCTCTCTCATTTCAAACTAAGCACTGGCTATGGGGTAGGATTGTTAAAAGTGCTTAAGGGATTTAGCAGCAGAAGTGCCACTGAAAGTCAATGGGCCTCGTGCCCCAACTCTCTCAGGCCCCTTTGAAAACTGCATCGATTAGTTTCTGCTTTTGTGCTTGGCTTCTGAGGTTAATGATGTGTTCCTGCAGCCACACCATTTGGAGAACAACGCATGTTTAGTCCTTGTCATGGGGTGTAAAGACAATGGGAGGGAACACTAGAAGAGTCACTATTGACTGTTCTGAGAGTGGGGATTTCAGGTATGGGATTGATTAATTCCTTTCAGTACTTATATATGGGATGCTCTGTGACACCAGAGGATTTAATTTGGTAGAGAGCAGATGACAGACTGGTCCCTAAGAGGAGAGATAGAATGAAGGAGGATGGTAAATCTCTTTCCTTAATAGAATTTGTTTGATGTGAACTGTGCTATGGATATATGTTTTGGACCTGGCTGAAGCAAGCTTTACTTTTAGACTTTAATTTTGTGCTCTGGCTGTAGGGTACTTTTGTTATACTCACTACAACTGGTTGAAAAAATGGAGAAACAATTTGGGGGAAAATATAGAATTTCAAAACTGTTGCCATATCAAAGGATTTAAAAATGGAACAATTTTTTTCCATTACATATTTTTATAAAAATGTCAGAATTTTGGTTCCTTACCCCTTTCCTTTCACAGAATGCAATAAAACAAATGATGGCCAATTTTTCTTTTTGCTACTCTGTAACTTTTTCCAAAGTTGAAGAAAAAGTTGGAAAAGTTACTATGTAGCAAAAAGAAAAGTAGAGGGAAAAAAATCCTGAACATCATTCTTTCTTTTGTATTTTGTGACAAAGAAGTGGGCAGAATGAGAAAGAGGATTAAGAAAAATCTAACCTCTCTAAACATTTCAACCTTTCTGGGTTCAGTGAAAAGGTGGAAAATTTTGAAAACAACTAAAAGAATAAATGGACATAAATCAGACATCAAGAATGGTAACATATAAAAGCCAGTAGGAGAGCACTTTAACCTTCCTGGACACACAGTTACAGACTTGAAATTGCTATTGCAATGTGGAATTGCTGATCTGGAATATATCCACAAATTTGACACCATCAGAATGAGTCTGAAAAGACACTGGGAATGGCACTCTCATTGCAATAAGTAATTTTACCCGTTAGGTATTCTCACCTTCTTATGTAGGTATTCTCACTGATGTAACACTCTAATCTGATCTGGACTTCTAATACTCCAGCCATCTGAAGAAGTGGGTTTTGCCCACAAAAGCTCATGATACCATCTACATGTTTTGTTAATCTTTAAGGTGCTACTAAACTGTTTTTTAAGTTTTTCCTATTACAGACTAACTCGGCTACCCCTCTGAAGCTTTTGTACATATATATAAATCTCTGCCATCTGCTTCTTTTACTTCATGCATATGACAAAGTAAGCTGCCACTCAAAAAAGCTGATGCCCTAATAAATTTGTTTGTCCTTATGGTGCCACCAGATCCTTGTTGTTTTTATCAAAGGTGTTAGATTTTGAGATAGCCACTTTAGGGTGTTTTTTTTTAAAGTTTCAAATGCAAACTTTCTACCAGCTCTCATATTTGTTTGGTTCTTAAAGGGACAGGCTAATCCTTATGTTCACTAACCTATTTTACACTAGAGCATATCATATGGGTTTTAGCTCAGCCTGTCATGCTCTGTCTGCTATGTCACTATATTTTATGAGGGTACATCTCTATAGCATGTTCATTTTGGCAGTATATAGTGTACATACTGCCCAGCATGGGTATAAATAGTTGTGTACAGGCAGTCCCCGGGTTACGTACAAGATAGGGACTGTAGGTTTGTTCTTAAGTTGAATTTGTATGTAAGTCAGAACTGGTACATATTGTAGGGGAAACTCTAGCCAAACATTTCTCCAGAGCTCAGTTTTATTCTCCCACACCTCACTTCCCTCAGTCCTTTATTCTCAAGCTGAGGTGTCTGCTGAGAAAAGCCGCTCCGCGTCTCCCTGGTCTGCTGGGGAGGGAGGGAGGGCGCTAGCTTCGCGTCTCCCTGGTCTGCTGGGGGGAAGCAGCTAGTGCGGGGTTGCCTCACCCCGTTTGTAAGTAGGGATCCGATGTAAGTCGGATCCATGTAACCCGGGGACTGCCTGTAGATGGAGGGGCACAGTTTAGGGGAGTAAAGTATAAACACTCCTGATGGAAGTGAGTATGTGTGTGAATACACACCTTGCACAGTGTTCTACTTACTCAAGGCATGACACCCCCATCTGTACTGCTAAAAATATCAGTAGTGTAACACAGTCAGAACCTTTTTCCTTCACAATATAAGAGTCTAGCTGAAGGGGTAACAGCCTCTCTCTGCTGCCACCCTTCAATTCCAGAGCCTCATTGACTCATGTAGCTACACGCTGCTATATGGATACAGCCCAATTTTCACTTAGGCAGGTAACTGCACATACACTACATGGTGCCTCTAGAGGTGTAGACAGTAAGTACTAGATCAATGACCAATGTTACATACTGTGGCTGGTTCTTTGCAATAGGGTTGATATATATGCAAGAAAACAATTCTGGTTTATTATTGATTGAAAAGTCATAAAACCGTTTCTATACTTTATCTCCCAAAGGCCTGGAATGATCTTACCCAGCAAGAAGAAAGGGAGTGTCTGTATAAGAAACAAGCTAATTAATGAGGATTGTGCTAATGGTTCTATCATGTACACAGAGGATTTACTTTGAAAATTTCTGTGAAAAACTTTGTGGCTTCTTGGATTTATGCCATTTTATATGCCTATAAAACAAAACAAAAATAATCCAAAAAGCTAAGTTTGTGTCACTCTCCCAAAAGGATCATTTAAATCACTAGTTTCTAATGGCCACTAAGCTTTCCCAGGTGTTGAGTTTTATACTTCTGTGCATATGAAAAGAGCCCATCACATACAGGCAGTCCCCGGGTTACGTACAAGATAGGGACTGTAGGTTTGTTCTTAAGTTGAATTTGTATGTAAGCAGAATTAAAATTATTCATTAAGAAATTCTGGTAACTCCATAAAAGTCAGAGCTGCTAATATCACTCAAATCTACAATTTTATACATATAGGTTAGCTGACATACCTTTGAAATGTAGGTAAGTTTAATTGCTCCAACAGGTGGAGAGCCAGAGGGAAGGTTCTAAAAGCAAGCACAATAATATGGAATTAAACTAAACTATCCTCCTACCACAAAGCATGTTCAATATATATGCATCAAATACTAGGAAATGAAATCAAAGCTTTATGAACAAAAAAAATTCTATACACTATGTCCACAATACAACATTCAACACATTGTGTGCTTAAACAGGATTTAAACTACTTGGTTTCATTTATTACAAACATCTGGTAATAAACTAAAACTGAACAGTGGTTGAAAATAATGCTGATGTGAATTGTTTGAGAGAGGTTTGTATTTTACTATAGGAAAAAAGAATTCTTGCAGATTTGCATCCAGGAAATCCTCCTAAAAGAACACTTTTTCCTTAACAGATGTGGAATCGAAATAATGACAGATTATGTATTTTCGTAGAAAAGAGACAGCCAGCCAACCCTCAAGCTACCTACAAGGATACTGATGCAGTAGTACTTTTTAAAACATTAAAACTCCTGGAAAAAACTGGAGAAAAATGGGAGGTCTACATTAAGCCTACAAGCCTGAAGGTCACATTTCAAACTATAGTCCCTTCAAACTAGAAACAGCAGTGACACACTCTGGTGTATTAACATATTAAGATGTATTTGTGTTATTTTTCATAGCAAGTCTATACAGGCAGTCCCCGAGTTACGTACAAGATAGGGACTGTAGGTGTGTTCTTAAGTTGAATTTGTATGTTAGTCGGAGCCGCCCAGCAGACCAGGGAGACGCGGAGACGCTTTTCTCGCCCCGTAGGACGTGGGCGGCGGGACCGCGGCGCATCTGGGCGGTCCCGCCACCTGCATCCACTGCGGCGAGAAAAGCCCCATTCGTATGTAGGGATCCGACATAAGTCGGATCCACATAACTTGGGGACTGCCTGTATTTTAAACCTATTTATCTTTAAATGTTGAACTTCAGCTTTGAAGTCACATTCATGCAAGATATACATTTAAAGATCCATAGGCCATTAAGATGCTTGGATTCACATTTTTACATCTTTAGGGACGTCATGAAAAGATGGCAGCCTTACTTACCCCATTTCAATAGTTGACCCAAGGAAAGATGGAATACAGTAATCGGCAGCTGCCAGTGTATATGGTGGCTGAGCAGCTGAATCATCCCAGTAAATATCTTTGTCCAACTTTGGTAAGTTCATGTGCATTTCATCCACAGCCAGAAGTGACACCTGGGATCATAGCTGTTATTAAACTTCTTTAAATATGATTTTGTGTATAATATACTAGGGATGTGATAGTGTAAATGGTTAACTGATGAGCCTGGCTTATAAAAGAAACAAGCAAATTAATTAGTATTGCCTGAGCTCATCCATTAACCTTCATGGTTACATGCAGCCCCACCCCACTGTGGGGGAGGAGGAGGTGAGAGCTGGTGCTCACGGTGAGCCAGCTTGAAGCACGCTTCCTGTGAGCACCAGCTCCTGGGTAACTGCCTGCCCCTCCAGGGGGGAGGAGAGGCAGGAGCTGGTATGTGGGGGGAGCCATCTTCCCCCGCCTCCCACGCATAAACATGTAACCACTGAAAATTTCAGCAGTTACACGTTTACCAAAATAAACACATTGTAACAGTCCTATAATATGCCATTTCCTGCTATATGGGAAATATTCTTTAGGAAATACATTTTATGAAATTATGGAAGATGTACATAGTGGCTAGAAGTCTGATCCATGTTAATAAGCACTATATAAAAAGCTAAAATAGATTATTTCTGCTCCCATCATGGCAATACATTTATTTGACTTTAATTAGAATGGGCTAGAACTCCATATGCTTGCAAAACAATTCCCTTCATATTCCATCACAATTAATTGAAAATGTTAAAGTATTAAATTTACCAGCAAGCATTCTTATTAAGCAGATTATTAACTAAACGGTCAGGTGAGTCTCTTGTGTGCCATATTTTCAGAAAATGTTTGTAGGCTATTATTGCTCTATTTGCAGAGATGTTTCTTATGTAGAAGTTCACAGAGAGAAACTTTTAAGCAAACTTTGTTCATAGTTTAAAAAATATTCACAACAGAGCAGCCTTGTACTGTGTGTGTGTGAGACAAGTTGCATTTAACTGCATTCTTCCAGGAATGGCCAAGCCTGTGACTCAGAGCACCATAGCCGGTACAGATGCTTCTCTTATGATGCTGACTCAGCTGAGCAAGCCAGCATACTGTTAGGGGTGGAGTTAAGGTTGCCCATGCTCCCGGTGCCTTCTCCTTCTACACATCTGCCCTGGAGTGGTGACCCCATGGAGACTACATCCTTCCTGTTCTGCTACCGGCAATGTGAGTAACCCATTCAGGGAAGTAAGGGAGCTCTTCATGTGCCCTTTCATCCTGGGTGGCGGAGTCACAACTGTGTCCTAAGCATGGGCGGTGAGTTGTATGGGCTCGTGGTGCCCAAGCTCCACCAATATTTGGAGCTGGAGTGGGCCCCGCCCCCTCATGCGCGTCCTCCCACACCGGCCCCAGAGCGTCACCTGCCCATCCCTGCAGTGCACAACCTCCATTGAGCTCCCCTGTGACGGGGGCCCATGACCCTGCACTGGATCCCGCGTGGGAAGCGCTCTGCTGGAGCTGCGGGGGAACCCTTGCTGGCCATGCGCCGTGGCTGCAGCTCAGCTGGCAGCCTGCGGCACAGCAGCTGGGAGGGGCATGGAGGAGACGGCCCCACACTACGGAGGCAGGAGGGGCGGAGCTGCCCCTGGGGCGCCCCGCCTGGAGCCAGAAGTGGCGGGGGGGTTTTA